TGGAGGAAAACACGTCCCTCTGTGCTGTTTCAATTCTTCTCTTCCATTATTTGACATCTTTTTCACCTTCATTCTTCACTCAACTTCATTCTGCTGGATTTTCAAATTTTCACATTAAGGGAATGTTGAAACTTATGCTGTATTTGAAATATTTCTAATTTAAGGGGACCAGAGAAGAATGTAAATTAACTGAATATATGACCATGCAAAGGACTAGAATAGTATGAGATGACAAGATCCAGATACAAAACAAACTGATTCATCACTCAGACCTGCAACATCACCAGCAACGCGATCAATGTGTGATTTCAGCCCAGCAGCTCTGCCTCTACAGTAGAAAAGTGACTCCAGGATCTATGAGCTGCTCCAATTTGGAAACCAGCAAAAATTCCCTGTAGTTCAGGCTCATGTTCTCATACTGGGACTGTGTGCTGCCTCCTGTAGGCTCTTTCCTTCAGGCCATAAAGAGGGAAAGGGGCTGTCAGGGCAGGAGGTGAAGTGGGAGAACAACTCTAATACCTGCACAGCCACTACTGGACATCAGAGACACTTGAACACTAAACAAGAGTGTCTATGGACATGAGTAGTCACTGTACTTCAGCCCATTTACTCGTTGGGGAGAAGGAAAGTTAATGGAAGGAGAGTTTTAGAATCCAAAAGAGAATTCACATCCTAGAGACAGGCAGTTCAACAGAGATAGACAGACTCCATTGTCTCACCAGGAATTCTCAAAATGTAAAAACAGAAGCAACTGGTTATGTACTCCTTTTTGTGTCAAAAAGCTATTAACTTTACAACAGGGTATTCATTCCAGTTTCTATATTCTGTTTCCCACTGAAAGTAATCATATCTCCAGAACCCAGGCAAGCGCATCCTGTTCTCTACCTCACTGATTCACTCCCTCTCTCTGTTTTTCATGAGCTCCTTGTCAGGAACTTTTCTCATTACTGTTAGTGAGCTCATGTCTCTGAGTTCAAGGTTAGCATTTTGTGTCTGTGCTGTTCATAGGGTCAAGATGAACCGATCTGGGTCACCAGTGCCCAGAGGTGGAGCTTTTGCCACTAATCCCAGGTGAGGTTACTGTTGTCCATTGAGTGTGTCTGTCAGCTGGCCATGAGATTAGATTGTGTGAACTGGACAATCTCTCATGATATTACTTTCTTTGAGAAGAGTAAAAACCTGATAGCTAAAAACTGCTGAAAATAAAAAAACTAAATTATACAATTCGTTATTTCTCCTGACTAATGGCTGAAAGAGTGTGTATGCACAGCGGTTATGATCAGAGACACACAGGGTGAGGAACAGAGAGGCGTAAGTAAATGCAGGAGTGATGAGCAGCAGAATAAAGTAACTGCATTTCTCAAAACATGTCTGTGCCCTTGAAGTTGTCTTCACATTATGTGTGACTGAAACAGAGATCTATAGAACCAGCTCCCAGCTGTGTGTCCATTAAGACTGACCCTTCAGCAGATCAACCACTAGAGTGAGGAAGAGGAGTTTCACTAGGATGCTCAGTGATATGAGCCTGGTTTTATTTAAACTGAACTTCTGTCAGGTGTATTTGCAACAGATTGATGAACAATTGATTATGTTAATAGTAGACAATGGTAATAGTAGGCAGTTGTAATTATTATTATTAATATGGGTGTTTCCATCACACTGTTATTGTGATTATTAGTTTACAAAGTCCACCCCCTCGTCCTCGCAGTGGAACCTGACCAGGGAGTCCTATAGACATGTGGGCTCAGAGTCAACAGGGTATTAGTAGACAGACACTGGTAGGTGTAGGTAAACACTTCATACGTGAATTGCATAGTATAAAAGAATGTTTTCTAGACATTGTGGGAAAGCAATAAAACAGGCACACAGAATGTTAGGTTATTTACTTAAAAACAAGGAATTTATTGAAGGACATTCTGGTAAAACTGTATAAAGCAGCAGTGAGGTGTCATTTAAAATTGTGTACAATTTGTTTGAATTTAGTCACTATGTACTGTAGGGATGCAAGCAGTCACAGAGCAGTCCAGTGTATGTTTGAGATTAGTTTAATTGTAACGGAAATTGCCATTTCCAGAGAGCAAAGAAGGAGACACAAGGTGTATTTCCCACAGCGCCCTGAATCACAACAGTTTCACAGAGGTTATTATAGCCAGGGTCCAGCCATATTATTAACATGAATGGGGTTTTAAGTGTCCGCATTCTACTTATGGTCCAGTGGCAATTCTTGTTGATGTTGTCCCTTCTTCCACCTATTTCTTTGGTGTCATGTACAACAGCAGATGTCTGTTCTAAAATTATCTAAAGCCGGGTCAGGAGACCAGGTCAATGACCCCAGGCCAGAGCCAGATATGTGTGTGACTTCAGCTGACCAGCTCTGCCTCTCTAGTAGAAAAGTGACTCCAGGATCTCTGAGCTGCTCCTGTCTGGAAACCAGCAGAAACACCCTGGAGTTCAGGCTCATGCTCACACACTGGGACTGTGTGCTGCCTCCTGCTGGCTCTTGCCTTCAGGCCATGAAGAAGAAAAGGGGCTGTGAGGCTGGAGAAGAAGAAGCAGGTCAACCCCAATACCAGCACAGCTACCCCTGACCTTCACAATTACAGTAACAGAGAGACACTTATTAACCCTGCAGAATGAGAGAATTGCAGTGACACAATCTTGCTGTCTCAATAACAGTTCTTCCAATTCAAAGCAGAAGACACTGCTAATGTGTACAGTACCTTTTCATGTTAAGAAAGACTTAATTTTCCAAAAGGGCTACTCATGACAGTTTCTATATTCTGTTTTCCACTGAAAATCATCACATCTCAAGACCCAGTCATGTGCATCCTGTTCTCTGCCTCACTGTTTCACTGCATCTCTCGGTTTTTGATTAACTCCCATTCAGTAAATTTTCTCTTTATTGTTAGTGACTCAGCTTTTGTAAGTTCAAGTCCCAATTGCTCGGCACTTCCTGATCTTTTCAACTGTCTCTGTTGTTCACAGGGTCAAGCTGTACAGACCAGAGTCACCAGTGCCC